ATTTTTTTGTATTTTTCTCAATAGTTTTTTTTATACTTTTGATAGCTTGGCATCCATTTGGTACAGCTCAAGTGAAATTTTCGGCACAAGTACTCTGGCTTTTTGCACATTCTTAAAATTTTATTTTTGCAGAATCCTGTGAATATTAATTTGACAACTTTGGAGAGTGGAAACTGTTGAATTAGTTCATCCTAGACTTTCGTAGAACATGTTTAAAATAGTACAGTGTGAACTGCAATTTCTTTCTGGCTGGTATAAATTTATTAAGTAATATTTTTTCGTACTAAAAAGACTCAAATATCTTTTTTAATTAAATCTAACAGCCAATGGGAGCACATATGCTACAACCTCTGCTTACTTTTGACTAAATGTTCTTTTTTTTTTTCAGGTGCAGAGCCAGATTTTATTCTCAGAAAGCAAAGGCACTGGAACTACATGTATTACAAAAACATACCGGTACTAAAATGCCATAGAAATCATGTTTGCCAATTTATGTCCATGCAACTTTAGAATGACAACTAGCGAAAGCAGTGTCATTCATGACTTGTTTTGTTCAAATTTGGTACATACATTAAACATAATAGGACCTTGATGCACGTCATTTTTTTTTGGATCTAGTTCGAAATGGCCAACTGGCAGCCATTTTGTTTTAAAGAATTCAGTTCTGGATCCGTATCCGAGACATGTCTGGATTGATCAAGTTCAAACTTCACACACACATGGTACATCATGTCACAAATAGATACATGTATGTGCATTTGTTTCATGATCCGCTTAACAATAGCTGAATGATGGCCATTTTAAGGCCGAAAATGCATCAAAATCACGTATTTTCACAATTCCGGAACCGGATCTCAGTCATGCATGGATGGATTTTGTTCAGATTTAGTAAAATCTGTTGTACATATGCAGGTGCATTTCGATCATGATCTGCTTTGAATGTATATGTCACTCAAATATGAACGGAACGGGAACGTGTCATTGACAATGACTTGTTTTTGCATTGATTGCTATAATGTGTAGATCTACATATCCATATCATGAAAGTTAGCTCAGTGAAATATGCTGAAAACTCCTATATTGTGATTGATGTGAATCCCAATACTGTGTCAAATGTTCAGCTAATTATATATTTTCATTTTTTTCACAAATTTAGTGAATTCCCCTCTTATCTTGTTTAATTCACATATGGATATCATGGTGTCACAAATTCATATTTTGTCTGGCTTTGTTAGTGATTATGAAATTAAAAAAATGCATATAACATTTAAAATTGGCTCAAAGTTCAACGTTCCTTAAAGGCCCGTGTAGGGCTCATATTGAGCTCTAAATAAGTGGACACTTGTTGCTGTCAAGTCCAGCTGTTTAGTGACATTCAACATGTGTGAAGATTTCATCCGTGAAAGGTGAAAATTTTCAAACTGGAAAACACACAACCATTATCAAGGATTCTTGTGTGATCTGGTCTCCAAAACTCTTTGCTATTGCTTGGGCAGAACCTCGCAAGATTTCGATACTCTTCCAGTCACCATTGTTCTGTGTTCTCCCCAGAGCATTGAGTAGGAATTCTCAACTGTTTTATTTTGAATAAACAATAAAACCAATTTAGCATAACAATGAATACAATAGATATCATTAACATACTCAATTGTTATGCAAATTGTCTGATACTCTATGCATATTTTCAAGGGAGAACATGTTTATTATTTTCTTGTCAGGGAGAAAAATGAAAACCCAGAAGTGTCGGAAGTTGAACCGTGCTTAGCAGTTGAGCCTGAACCTTGTCCCATCATTCCAGAAGATTCCGAACAGGTTACCATGGGCGAGAGTTCTGTACATTTTGAATTTGAAGCCTCTTCGGAGGACACTGATGAGAAACATGGTGAACAAGATGTTGCTGTGGAAACGACTTCAGTGAATGCTGCAGAAGAGAAAAGTAATGAACATGAAAGTGAACAGACTAAATCTAACGGTCAATCTAAGGACTTTGACAGTAATAGCGCATGTGCAGAGCAAAGTGATAAAACTGCTCCGGATGTGACAGATGCTGAATCTACTCCAGAACCAAGTGCAATAAAGTGTGAAGAAGTGAAGGAAGCAAATACAAAGACAAGAGAATTTACATTGGAGGATTTCAAGCGTGACTGGAGAAGATTTAACATAGACATAGCGCCTAAGGTACGCTGTAAATCGTTATATTTCAATAACTGCAAATTTAGCGCCTCACTAGTTTATCCCCATCGCACGCTTTCTGCAGGTACACAGGCCACGATGAATGGAAAGTCACTTATCCGGTTATGCATATTATTTTCTGTATTTTTGTTTGAATGTACCAGTACATTGCAGCTAGTCTTTCAAACTATTTTAAACTGAAATCCTGTCTAAATTTAAACTTTAGATATTTATAAATTTTACATATTTTAAAATGATTTCAACATGCATTTCCCCTTCATCAGTATCCAGATTAAAAAATTTATGGATATTTAGTAATCCTGATGTTGATTTATTTTCACAGATGCTATTTTCACGGGGTTCGTTGGTTGAGTTACTGATCTCATCCAATATTAGTAGATATGCTGAATTTAAGTGTGTAACAAGTATACTAACGTACCTCAATGACAGGATAGAACAGGTGAGACTACAAACATGTTCCTGATGCCTTGTACCTTAGATGTATGAAATTTCTCATACTTCAACTGTGACAAAGAATTTTGTTTTCATTTTCAGGTGCCTTGTTCAAGGTCAGATGTTTTCAGCAGTAAATTTGTCAGTATGCTGGAAAAAAGAATGCTGATGAAGTTTATCGAGTTTTCTTTATCCTATGAGAGCCACACAGAGCAATATGAAGGTGAGAGTGACTTGGTTTTGTCCATGATATACCGGTAATTCCATACGTAAGAAGTGTTTTTGGCTTGAGTGAAACTTTCGTTAACCAGGGGTAGAACCGGTAATAAGGCTTAGAATTTGGAATCTATGTTGGCCACATTTTAGAGCAAGTCAAAAAGTAGTGTAGAAAACAGTCAGTAGCCGGTTAAAACAATTACCTACTTTGAATAGAATATTGCCTAGTTTTTTTTTTTGTTTTACAGTTTTTTGTTGTTTTTTTTTGGGGGGGTGGCTAAAAACAAAAAAAAATTAGTACCGGTACATGTGAACAGACATTGACTTTTCATTTTTGTTGGTACAGTACCAACTACATTGCTGTTTTTGTTTTGTTTTGTTTTTCTACATCAAAGAGACCAAGCCTAGACGTTTTTAGAAAAGTCAGAATAAAGCAGGATAGAATGAAAGATGGAGAATGATTCAGAGAGGAATTGTCAGGATATACATGTAAGAGTAAAGTAGTGATGGCACTTCTGAAAACAACAAGGAAGAAATTAAACCTTGTAAAGGATATCATACAATGTGGTATGAAAATAAAATTTTAGAAATTAACTAATATGGCAGTGATGTAGGCTGCTTGGCAAATGAAGATCAGAATGTGTGACAAATTCTAGAAGCATCAGACTCCTGCTTTGACTCCGACATGATCATTTCTATGCAATGAGGATGGTTTTATTAATCAGTGATGTATGTCACTGTCATTTGTATTCTAGAATATCTGGACAAACCATTTGTTGAATTTCTCAGAACTAGAAAGTTGACTCCAAACCTCCAGCATTTTGTACAACATTCCATCGCTATGGTTACAGACCAAACACCAACTGTTGAGGTAATGAATATCAGGATTTGTGAATAATCCAGTATTTTACACATGTGACCTATTAGTGTTTAGCGGGAATTTGATGACTGGGTGCATGATTATAATAAGATCAGATTGTTAATGAGTATTGTAGAAATTTGAATTGCTATCACTTAATGACAAAGTACATTTATTTGTTAAATCATATGCAATCCCTATAAAATCTCTTCATCTTTCAAAAGAGATTTATCCTTCTTGTTTTATCACAGGGACTTAAAGCAACACATCACTTTCTTCGTTCACTTGGTCGCTATGGCAACACACCATTTTTATGGCCTCTCTATGGCTCGGGTGAATTACCGCAGTGTTTTTGCAGGTTAGAGTTTTATCATTCATATGATTCTAGTAAGCATCAATCAAGTTTTGAGAAAACATGTTTGAATCAGCTGAATCTCATGGCGTGTTTGTCACATTTACAAGATATTCCTTAAAATAGGACTGACGTTGTTTAATAGGCAAAACAGATTAAATGTTGAGAATGTGCACAGACCTGGGTTCTCTCCAGGGCATTTAGAGAGTAGGGGTTCTCCAAGCTATTTTTGCATAACAATGAATACAATTATTGTTTTTATTTTCTCAGTAATTTTATTTTATTATTTTGATATTTGAGCGTGATCAGTGTTTTTTGCCAAGGTTCGTTTGTTGAGTTACTTGCCTCGTGAATATGTGTATTTACTGTGAAACAAATTATTTCCGCTGACATTTAATTTCACTACTTTGATGTTTTGAGCAATTTCACTGTGTTTTAATTTCATAAACAGAGAAACAATGAGTTCTATTGTTTATTTTACATGTTTCATGTGGATTTACTTCAGCAGATTTTTACTTATCAGCGAAAATAGCCTTTAAAACCCAGTGAATGAATAAACATTGCATTTACAGTAAGCAGTGGTGTAGAAAACAGCCAGTAGCTGGAAAATACTGCCTAGTTTTTTTAATTTTTTTTTCTAATTAAAAACCAGTGAATAATAAATGCATTTACAATATACTGAATTGAAGTGTTTAAAATTGTGAGTTTAATTGTAATTTT